AGGTTGGAAATGGATTTGGTAATGCGAAAGTCAATGGCAATGTCGGAAAGATCGGATACGGACAACGTGAGTGTAGACATTTTGGTATCGGGGAGGGACGACGTAGGCGTGCATGGGTGGTTGGTGGGTTGGTAGGGCCGTAGGGGCCAAAAATCTTTTTATGCTTCTGTTTTATTTGCTTGTCTAATATTAATTAATGCATGGTTCTTCACATGATCTGTTTTTTTCTTTTTTTCTTTTAATTTGTTATTTTAATTTTAATGCTACCGTGTTTTTAATTTCTTTGATTTTATTTTTATTATTGGAGCGGTGGCGACTCCATTCAATAAGCCGTGGGTCTAGTGACGACCCTACTCAAAATTTGTCTACCAACAAAATATAGGAAGTTTTGATACTCGATAGAGACGAGATTAGAGATTAGTCTAAACAATAGTATATGTATGATTATTAGTATTAATTAGTAACGTAAGTAGTGTTACTAAACAAAATGATTAAGCTTCCGAGATCAAAGTAACGTTTCAGTAGTGTTGACCTGTCGATTGACTACCCGATGGTCATAAAACCAACAAACGCGATAGTTGTTTGGTAAAGATATGAACAAACTTGGTGGATTTTTGAGTCTTGACAACTCCAACAAGTTGCTCAGTGTTATTTGATTGGGCTGATTAAATTAGTCCGACACCTAATAGATGACATAGAAATTAGAATTACGAACTTGTAAGATTTAAACTCATTCTTCACTTTGATTCTCATATCTTTTTTTTTTTTTTAACCTCTGATCTTCTTCTTCAACTTTTTCTTTGTTGCGGAATACAAGTTTTTTTTTGGTCATGTTTTATAGTACAATTACATATTAGTGTTCTTTTTCATATAATTTGTATTCCCTTTTTAGTATTTTTGGATACCTGCACAATTATGTCTGATTCCCTCATATAATTTACTTGTACGTATTTGTGTGTGTGCAGGTATGTGTCAGCTTAATGTATTTATGATGTAGTAGTTGAGCACTGATTTTAAGATTTTGACATCATGTACAAAAATCTTAGAATCACATACGAAAAATCTATCTGAATTTTTTTGTTAGGCCAACGAAAAAAAAAAAAAAGCACTTTCTCAAAAGTTATGCAGAAACCTAAATGGATTATACTTGTGTGAGACCGTCAAACGGATCTTTATTCGTGAGATGAGTCGGGAAAATATATAAATGTAATATTTATAGTGAGTTAATTCCAGCAATGGTCATCCGACTATTGCGATTTTCCAAAATTAGTCCTCAACTTTTAATTTGGACGAAAAAGACACTTGATTTTCTAATTTGTTCCACCAAATGTCCTTCCGTCAAAATTCCGTTTCTTAGCCGTCACTGTAGGGGGCAAATCTGTCTTTTCATTATATTACTTTCTTCTTCCCAATTTTCCTCTTAGCCTACCTTATTTGACGTTTCCTGGCTTATTTGACGCACATAATTAGGAAGAACTCCAGCACACTCACACTACCTCCCTCCCCACTACTTCCATCTCCCTGTTTATATATATAATCTCTCGCCATTTCTTCTCAAACCCCTTGTTGACTCTCTCTCTCTCTCTCTCTCTCTCTCTCTCTCTCTCCCCCTTCTACTCTATTCTAATTAAGGTTTGCAGAGTGCGAGGTTATAGATACATATATATATAGAGAGATTGTGGATTTTGGTTCGGAGATGACAATGAGCAACATTAACAGCAACGTCGTCGCTGGGCATAATAATTTGGGTGACACGACGTTGACGAAGGTGTTCGTTGGAGGGTTGGCGTGGGAGACGCCGAAGGAGGCCATGAGAGAGCACTTTGAGAAGTTTGGCGAGATTTTGCAGGCTGTCATCATCACCAACAAGCTCACTGGCAAATCCAAAGGCTACAGTTTTGTAAGCCTTCTTCTTCTTCTTCTTTTTCTCCATGGGAGATGTCGTGGAGGCTCAACGGAGTGATCGCCGAGATCGGATTGAAGATCGGCTGCCGGCTGCGAAGTCAGGGGTTCCGAGTCGTCCGTTGCCTATGGAGTTTTTTGCGGCAATGGAGGTTGTGCATGGCCAATCGGAGGGTGGCAAAGGAGAGGGGAGTGCATCTCGATCCTTCCCCCCAATCAATTTGACGATCGCCAACCTCCTGAAATTCTGGGGTCCGAGGGGTCGCCGAGGGAATTCCGGTCAGTTACGGAGTTTGACGTCGTTCGGGATGGTGAGGGGAGTCGCCGTTTGGTCGAAACCAACCACCACACCGATCAAGGCTCGAGACGACGGTCACAGGAAAACACCATCGGTGCGGATCTGTTAGTGGCTGCTGGGGGTAACCTCGCCGCGACCTTACGAATGACGAAGGGGGATGATTTTTGGGACTTACTGCGAGCAGATTACTTCTCCGGCCAGGATGCACATCGACAACCTTCGGCTGAGATTGATGGAGGCACGCAGATGGTGGCCGCTGGGGGTGGAACATTTGTGGGCCAGCCAGCGAGAGTAACAGGTCTTAGAACTCGTAAGCGTAGTCGGAGGAAGAATAAAACCAAGAACGCCAGTTCTTGAGAAGTTCCACCTACGACCACTGGAGTTAGATACCTTCGATCGTTGGTGGTGGTGGGGATGCGACCTATGGAGCTGAGCCACTGCCCACATTCGTTGCTTAGAGTTCGCAGCTTGTGAGGAACTCTGCTCCAACAGTTGTAGAGACACAACATAATGAATAGACAAATTTACCCCTTAAACTAACGACCAACAAACGTTTATTAGACGGAAGGACCTTTGGTGGAACGATTTAGAAAGTCAAGTGTCTTTTTCGTCCAAATTAAAAGTCAAGGACTAATTTTGGAAAATCGCTATAGTCGGAGGACTATTGCTGAAATTAACTCTATTTATAGTAGCAAATGTAATACTAAATATTATATTTAATCTTGACCCGACCCGTCTCAGAGACAAAGATGCATGAGACGGTCTCACACAAATTTTTGTCTAACTCAAATTACCAATAACAACTTTTTTTTTTTCTTTCATCATCTCTCTCCTCCCTATCGTCACAAGTTTTTGCCAACCCAAATTAGAAGTAACAACTTTTTTTTCTCTCTTTCATCCTCTCTCTCCTCCACATCCGATTTGCCTAGAAATTTGAGAAAAAAATCCATTGTTGATAAGAGCAACCCCAACAACTCTTTTTGAAGGGTTTTTGTTGAGTTTTATGTTGACATGGAAAAGAGAGAGAATTAGAGAGAGAAGAAACAAATTTGTAGAAGGTTGATTTTTTTTTTTTTTTTTATTTTTTGGGATGAGAGAGAGAGAGAAAAAAAAAAAAAAAAAAACTTAAATGGTGTTGTGCGCACTAGTAGTGCCTAACAGGCGCATGTAACAGTAGTTTTTTTTTTTTTTTTTTTTTTTTTAAATTTAAAATTTCTCTATTTTTTTTTTTAAATTTAAAATTTCTCTATTTTTTTCTTCCATATTGATATCAGCATCTGCACTTTTCCATCTGGTCATTACTACATTGATGGATTGATGTAGAGGTGGGGGCTTCATTGGTGAGAGTTAATTTTGTAATTGTCATGCATGTGCATTAATGATAGTCATAATTATATGATTAGATACATATAACCTTATCCGTATGGAAGGACCAGGGTAAACATATAATTATATGATTAGATACATATAACCTTATCCGTATGGAAGGACCAGGGTAAACATAGACTTAGGGATGTTTGGTTCATGAAAAATGTTTTCCTTTGGAAAAAGTGAAGGAAAATGTTATTTTCTAGTGTTTGGTTCATGGAATTCATTTTCCAATGAATTTCTCAAATTTGAGGAAAACAAAATCCTTAGTTGGACCAAGGATTTTGTTTTCCATGGAAGATGGGAAGAAAAAGTGATTAGATTGCCTATTTTACCCTTGCTTTCTTTTTTAATTATATTACTTTTATTAATTTGTAGGGGCATATAGGTCTTTATACTCATTATTTCTTACAATTCCAAATCTAACCAAACAATATAATTAGTATTCCTAGTAATTCTTTTTCCACCAACCAAACAATGAAATTCATCTTTCTAGTAATTGTTTTTCCATGGAATTTCAATTCCACTTCCCTTAAAATATTTTCCGCGAACCAAACGAGCCTTTATAGTGGGGTATATTAAGATACCCAGCAACCGTGGAAGGCTAGGGTAAACATAGAATTGTAGAGGGGTACATTAAGATACCCAACAGCCCATTAGGTGGAAGGATCAGGGTCTGGTGCCCACAAAGAACCACCTCACGAGGATGAAACTCTCACATTACGACTGTTAGCCTTGATCTTGCGTTATTGCCCACTATCTGTCGCCCAGGAACTAATTGAGCTACACGTGCGGACTAGATACATATGACATATTCAATTTTGGGTGTAGAACTCCTAAAGAGCAAATGATGGAAGGTGGGGTTAAGAGGTTAAAGCATGGTGTTTTTGGAGCAAATTAGAAGCAGCTAAGATGTGAGATGATGATTACTGGTTGAATAGCTGACTTTTAATTTTGAGACAAAAAGAAAAAGGAGATATAGTAATTATGAAAATTGATCATTGATCAGGTGAAATCTGATTTGAAGGAATAGTAGTAGTTAGAGATTTCTACAGGTCCAGGCCAATTTGAGAATTTATCAAACCAAGATTTTGTTGCTTGCATTTTCCTGGTTGTTCGCTACTGAATAGAGCAAGAGTAATGGGCTATTCAAATTGCATCATATCCCTCACCCTATTCGCTTTTTTGGTTTGATCTGATCAATTATGAGTAACCTAGACTGATCGAGTAAGTTGATTTATCTTCTTGTGATCCTTTGTCGACTAGAATCACAAGACGACGATATTTACCCAGTACACATCGTGTAGTAGCTATTGGTTTCCCTCGTCACTCAAGAAAAAAAAATATTGCATCCCTCACTAGCTATCCTATGTTGTTTTGTAGGTTTTGCTTTACAAGCAGGTAAACAAACTGTTGCTGCAACTGTAACCCGCCTTGTGACTTTAACCGACAAAGAACCACTAAACCAGCCTAGTTTGCCGGGACTCAAACCAAGAAGCATAACAATAGTAAAGAGATTAAATGACAATAATATTCATAGTTGTTACATTCTTTTCATCAATACATAAAGAAGACAACAATTTCCAATATGTTATATTTTAAAACACATATGAAAACATGATAATTGTTACAGCCAGTAGCTACCTGTTAGTTGTGATTGGTAGTAGAAACCTATTATTCATGGCTGGAAGTTGCAACCAGCAAGTCCATTGTCACTTTCTTGATGCAATATACAGAGTAAATTAAAGAGTCAATATTGGTGCAACCAATATGCAGAGGGAGGAAGTATTTATTCCATTGAGTTACCGTGATTTACATCTTCTCACATGCTCTATCGGGTCGGAGTGTGGGGATTAACCTTTATTCCCATTGTCGTGAGAATTAGACTACAAATTAGTCTTATGATTATGGCTTCCAAGAGTTTCCACTGTTTGCTAAAGTCCACATTGATAATGTAGAAAGCATGTAAAGGTGCATGAGCAGCATAAAAGAAGGGGACAGTCAACAAGAAAAGCATACCTTTCTCGGCCTTTTGGCTAAGATCAAGTGTAGTATCTGTTCTTATCAGTTTAATATCTGATACGTGGGCCATTGTCTCACACGATATTAATTAAATTTTTTTTAGGGAAAGGCCCATCAAGGTAGCTTGCTACTTTTGGGTCTTTGAGTGTCGCCTTGGTATTGCACCATTGCCTTGGCCTGGCATACCCCACCAATTTCATTCCAACATTTTATAATATATTTGCTTTGTTTGTGTCAGTTTGGCTATTTTTGGTCCTAATTAGTAATTACTCAAAAAGTCTGTCATGCAACTGCTGTTTTAATCTGTCTGATTCTAATACTTGATGGGTTATGGTGCTTATTAAAACGTATGTTCTGCACCCTTCAAGCAAGCAAAGGGGACAAAAATGACAGTCTTTGCATACCACACTACTAGCTATCTTGAAAGAATCAAGTTTAAGAGCAAATCCTTCTTGCATTGATTGAGTAATAAGAACAAAAATAGGTTGTGTGCTCCAGAAACACCACTTGACATCAATACCAAGCAAAAAGGTCAATCACCATAATTTTTTTTTTTTTTTGGGTTAGACCACTAGGTGTGCCCGTACCATACTCAGACTAATCACCGTTCGCACCGGACCGACTCAACTAAGGGCAAAGTGTTGGTCATATTGGTTTTTCCATATATATAAGAGGTGGTTTTGAACTCCCAACCTCTCTTAAGAGATGAGAGAGCATGACCACTTATGCCAACCAAGTTGGTTAACACCATAAATTTATGAATGAATAAAAGGAAGCATACCCCAAAGTAAAACATAAAAGTATACCTTTCAAGATTTTAGATAGGAGGTCAATAAGAGGTATCTACCAATTCAGGGGTGAACAAGTCATCTCTTGATACTCTATTAGAACACACAACACAGATAAGATGAATACGTACGAATCAATGTTGTGGATTTTTTTTTTTTTTTTTGATAAACCATGCCCCTCAAAAACAATCAGATGTATTTTATCTAGCATCTCCATTACAGGTTAATTTCCACAATATTTTTTCTCATATGTATATGCACACAGGCTTATCAAATTTAATTGATTGAAATGCAGTCTTTCAAACTTGTGTTTGCATGTGCACAAAGTAACTTTGTCAAACTATTTGCTGAAGTCCCACATTGAAAATGTAGGAAGCATATGGTTCTGCAGAGCAATATAAAAGAAAGGGGCTGTCAACAAAGAAAAACATACCTTTCTCGGCCTTTTGGCTAAGATCAAGTGTAGTATCTGTTCTTATCAGTTTAATATCTGATACGTGAGTCATTGGCTCACATGATATTAACTCAATTTTTCTAGGGGAAGGCCCATCAAGGTAGCTTGCTACCTCGGTCCTCGAGTGTTGCTTTGGTATTGCACTATTGCCTTGGCTTGGCACACCCCACCAATTTAATTCCAATGTCTTATGATATGATAATATATCTGGTTTTTTTTTTTTTTTTTCGTTTCAGTTACTCAGAAAGTGTCATACAACTGCTCTTTTATTCTCTGACATTGCAGCAGATATATTTTGGTAAGGTCTCGGGCTCCTGATTCTTAAAACATGTGTTCTGCACAGATCCTGTAGGGAGGATGTGAAGGGAAATTAGCTATAAAAGAAGATTTTATGGGTATCTTTGAATCAAAGCAGATTTTTACCATAAGTTTTAGAGAGAAAATTCTACAAAGGGATCAAAATGACAGTCTTTCTCCAAGTAATCTAACTTTACAGCCACCTTTCTTGCAATTACTGCAGTTAAATCCGTACGTCACCTGCAGACAGAGTGAATAGAAGAATTAATATAGGTGCAACCAGATATGCGGCTGGACCGGGAGAAAATATTTATTCCCCACAAACACAAGGAAACAATTTTGGATATAGCAAATGCAGAAAAATTGCATCTTTGTGAGAATTAAACTACCAAATAGCCTTTGAGTCATCTTCAAGACTTTGCTGCATAGCTTCCAAGACTTTGCCCAACTATTTTTCCGTAATTTTCTTAACATACTAGAAATTTAAAATACACTAATCGGCACTAGAAATTAATATTGTCCCACTGTTGCTCAAGTCCCACATTGACAAATAATGTAGAAACACTGTGAAGATGCATGAACAGTATAAAAGAAGTGGGCAATCGATGGAGAAAAGCATACCTTTCTCGGCCTTTTGGCTAAGATCAAGTTTAGTATCTGTTTTTATCAGTTTAATATCTGATACGTGGGTCATTGGCTCACATGATATTAACTCAATTTGTTTAGGGGGAAGACTCATTAAAGTAGCTTGCTACTCGGACCTTAAATTGTCAACTTGGGCCTTAAATTGTCGCCTTGGTATTGCACTATTACCTTGGCCTGGCACACCCCACCAATATTATTCCATCATCTTACGATATCAGCATTGTCTCTGCATGTTTGGCTATTGATTTTTACCATAATAGGTTTAATAAGAGAGAAGATTCTGTGAAAGGATAAAAATAAATTGAACACATCTCCTTACACTTACCAACACCTGCAAAGTGAATAGACAAGTTAATATAGCTGCAACCAGATATGCGATGGGAGAAAATAGTTATAGTTATTCCCTACAAACACAAGGAAACAATTTTGGGTATAGCAAATGCAAACAAATTGCATCTTTTAGAGAATTAGACTACCATATAGCCTTGGAGTCATCTTCAAGACTTTGGTGCATGCATACTCATAGCTTCGAAGAGTTTGGCTAACTAATTTTCCGTAATTTTCTTAACATATTAGAAATTTAGAACAATAATCAGCACTACAAATTAATATTGTCCCACATTGATAATGAAGAAAGAATGTGAAGACTGAAGATGCACGAGCAATATAAAAGAAGTGGGTTGTCAGTGGAGGAAAGCATACCTTTCTCGGCCTTTTGGCTAAGATCAAGTGTAGTATCTGTTCTTATCAGTTTAATATTTGATACGTGGGCCATCGGCTCACATGATATTAACTCAATTTTTCTCGAGGAAAGGTCCATCAAGGTAGCTTGCTACTTGGGTCTTTGAGTTTCGCCTTGGTATTGCACCATTGCCTTGGCACACCCCACCAATTTCATTCTAACATTTTATAATATTTGAGTTGTTTGTGCAAGTTTGGCTATTTTTTGTCCTAATTACTCGAAAAGTCTCTCATGCAACTGCTCGTTTAATCTGTCTGATTCTAATACTTAATGGTTGTGGTTCTGCACCCTTCAAGCAAGCAAAGGGACAAAAATGACAGTCTTTACATACCACACTACTAGCTATCTTGAAAGAATCAAGTTTAAAGCAAATCCTTCTTGCATTGATTGAGTAATAATAACAATAATAGGTTGTGTGCTCCAGAAACACCACTTGACATCAATACCAAGCAAAAAGGTCAATCACCATAAAAAAAAATTTTGTCCGTACCATACTCAGACTAATCGATCACCGTTCGCACCGGATCGACTCAACTAAGGGGCAAAGTGCTGGTCTCCCACCCTCTCTGAAGGGATGAGAGTGCACAACCACTTATGCCAGTGCGAATCAATGTTGTGGGTGTTTTTTTTTTTTTTTTGATAAACCATGCCCCTAAACAACAATTAGATGTATTTTATCTAGGATCTCCGTAACAGGTTAATTTCCCACAATATTTTTTCTCAGATGTATATCCACACAGGCTTATCAAATTTAATTGATTGAAATGCAATCTTTCAAACGTGTGTTTGCATGTATACAAATTAACATTGTCAAACTGTTTGCTAAGTCCCACATTGAAAATGTAGGAAGCATGTGGTTATGCCGAGCGATATAAAGGAAGGGGGCTGTCAACGATGAAAGGCATACCTTTCTCCGCTTTTTGGCTAAGATCAAGTGTAGTATCTGTTCTTATTAGTTTAATATCTGATATGTGGGCCATTGGCTCACACGATATTAACTCAATTTTTTAAGGGGAAAGGCCTATTTAGGTAGCTTGCTGCCTTGGCCTTTGAGTGTCGCCTTGGTGTTGCATTGTTACCTTGGCCTGGCACACCCTATCAATTCTAGTCTAACCTCTTAAGCAAGCATTTTTGTAAATTTGACTTACCAGAATTTGAGTGAGATCCGATGATATTGGTCTACAGGTGCCAAGTTGTTCTGTCAAAATGAGAACTACACAAATAATCTCTTTCAACTCACAGCCCACGTTACATGAGATTTGCTCTTGAAGAAAGTCTTTCTCTTTCAAGTTATAGCTTTTGATTACATTGTTCATGTGTCTTTGCGTGTTTCCTTCACATTCATAGAGGAATAACATAACCTGGTGGGTGTGGTTGAGTGGAAGGGTCTCATCCATCCTTAACCAAAGGTCAAGGGTTCAATCATTGACTTTGGGTATGGAGCAGCCTTAAATTTCCAGGCCAGCTATCTCACCCAAAAGAGGTGCCTACAAATCAGCGAGTGGATCAATCATTGTGTCCGACGGTGGAAACCCTGGTTACACCCAAAAAAAAAATAGAGGAATAACCTAGATTCAGAAGCAAGTTAGATTAGCATTTCTCATTATTGATTTCAAACGTTTTATTTCCATGTGGAAGGATTTTTTTTGTAAGAAAAAAAAAAACTTTTTCTGCTAATTAATATATGAATATGTAAATTGTATGTGCTTATTTCTGTATATCAACAATATATTATATATCACTAAAAAAAGTAATAAAATAAATTGAACATATCTCT